GCCACCCAGGCGCCCATCACTGCTGTTATTATCACTACTATACCTGTAGCTTGTCTGCATGGCCTTCCATTGGCTCACGTGAGATTCAAAGCCTTGGGAGATGTAAACACCCAGGAGTCAAGATGCTGAGGGGATGCTGGTTGGGTCCCTGCGAGTGACTTATTACTGCTGGTCAGGTGGACAGCTCGTTCTTCAATTTCTCAGAGAACAGAGCAGGGGAGGAAGCTTGGGGACGATGGAATGGGCCCATGGCCGAGAGGCAGGATGGCTGGGTTCTAGTCCCCTCCACTAAGTCATACAGGCCAATGACTTTCCTTCTCTGGGCTTAATTTTCCTGGCTCTAGAAGAGGAGTGGGGAGCTGGGCCTGCTGACCTTGAATGCCCCTTTTGACTCAGCAGCAAAGTGACTAAAACCACTATCAATGCCTCCCTGAGGACCTGGCCTATGACAAATGCTCAGCAAGTGTCTGTCACCATCTTTGTCATCGTCTGTAAAATGGGGACCATAACACCTTCCTCACAGGAGTACTGAGAGGACCTGCTGAAAAAAAAAAAACAAAAAACATGTAAAAGTGCTCTGTAAACTGTAAAGTGCTGGGAGCCTGTCCCAAAGCACCAGTAAGATAATCTTGATCATTAGAATCATCACCACCTCCTGCTATCCTTTCAGCTCCTTCCCCAGACACAAACCCAGAAAACTTTCTGGGGCGCCTGTCTTAGCAAATGAGGGCCAATTCCCACAGGTCCCTCCCAGCGGCATTCTCCGCCTGGGGCCAATTAGACAGCCCCGGTAGTTAACACAGTGCGCCCTGGCCCTCCCCTTCTCAAGAGCCCACCCTCTGCTCCTTGAGGCCTGTGGGCCCCTGGGTCCAGAATCAAGCATCTGGAGTGCAGTCTTCTCTCTCATGCCAACCCCTGGCTGGCCTCAACCCCCCCTGGTGACTGCAACCAGCTCTGGGGACAGCAAGCAGGACTTCAGTTGGAGGTCAGATATAGCTGTCAGTCTAGACTGGAGCCCTGAAGCATGTGATATTGTGAACACAGCCCCAGGCCAGGAGGCAGGCACCAGGGTTCCGTGCTGGCTGTTCCATTGTTTAGCTGTGTGGTTTTGGCCAAATCCCTCGGCTCTTTCTGGCCACATTTCATTTTCTGGGAAACAGAGGGTAGGACCATGCTTGGCAGTCTTTAAGTAATTCTGTCATTTGAAAACTCACGGTGGCCTGAGTTTTGTCCTGTTCATGATTCTAGATTGCTTCTGACCTGGCACAAGTCACTGTACCTGCCTGGGCCTCAGTTTTTCTCATCCATCCAGTGAGGAGATAGGCACCTGCGTGGACACCTCTTCACAGCTGAAGTGAGGGTACAAGACAAGTATGAGGAGAGTTAGGGCCTTGGCTCAGAGCAAGGGGTGCTTATCATTTGCATCATGGTTCTGAGAAAGAGAATTGAACGAGGCGCATTTTCATCATCCTGAGTTCTGGGCCCAAACTCCCTCCTCCCCTGAATCTCTGAGCTCATCGGGCTGGGCTGGAGGAAGTGGGGGGATGTGGTTGGGGTACAGGGGAAGATCCCACAGGGCAGTCCCCTGAGAGTGTAGCTGAGGCTGAGGAAGAGCTGAGGTTTGGAGAGAGGCTTGGGATCACGCAGGAGGGAATGTGTCCCCTCCCTGCCATGTGTGACTCGAGGGGAGATCAGGAAGTAGACACAGGGATGAGATTGACCTTTACTAAGTGCTTCTTCTATGCTAAGCCCTGGGCTCCAACATACACACACACACACGCACGCGCGCCATCTCTCGATTTGCATCGTAACACGGTGTGAGAAGGAAGTCCTCCCTGTTCTAGAGAAGTGGAAACTGCGCTTGCCTCAGACCACAGTCATCTGAGGCAGCAGCGGACTCTGCCCCTGGGCTCCTCTGCTTCCCAGCCATGTGACCTTTGGCAAGTTCCTTACTGTTTCCTTATCAGTCACATCCCTGTCTCTGGAGGCTGAAGTGGTGCCCATGCAAACTAGGCTTGGAGTGATTTTGGCCTTTGCTTCCAGTGGGGCCTAGCAGGTGTTTCTGCTTCCCGAACAGCCAAATGACAGTGCTGGCCTGCTACATGGTCCGCATCAGAAGGCCTCGACCATGGGTGGTCCTGCTGAAGTTTCTGGGGAGGCTGACAAAGGTCCAGACAGAAGGGGAGGAAGGGCCAAGGGCTCTGCCAGGTTTTCTGAGAGCCTCTATCGGGCTGAGAAGGACCGGAGCTGCTGGGCTGTGCCTCTCCTGGATGAGGCTGCTCATCGAGGGCTCTGCTGAGTCCTACCAATAGCAGAGTGGGATGCCTCCAGCATTAGATTATCCTGAGGTATCTAGATTCTTAGGAGTCAGGACTAGAAGCAGTGGTGTGTTGGTAAATGTTTAATAATCGTTCCTGGAAGGGAGGGAGGGGTTCTGATTTGTATCGTTTGCTGACTTCTATGGTGTTAATAACCCATCATGGCCAATTGCAAGCTAAAAACATGGTGTCACTGCACCCAGAGGTGGGAAGAGATGCACAGAATAACCTCATTATAGAGTATTTCCTTCATACAGATCCAGTAGGTGCAAACAACTTCTAGAACATGGAGAACAATAAAATGTAGAATAATTAAGGTATGAAGAGTTTTGAGCATTTTTTGACCTTTTTTTTTTTTTTTCATTTTGTAAGCTGATTTTTGCCCCAAATTATTGGGATATAATTGACATGTAACACTGTGTAAGTCTAAGATATACAGATGTGATTCTTTGATACAGGTACATATTGCAAAATGTTTACTGCAATAAAGTTAGTTAACACATCCTCACCTCATGTAATTACCATCTTGTTGTTGCCATGAGAACATTATAGCTCTACTCTCATAGAAACTTCCAAGCATACAATACTGTAGTGCTAACCACAGTCACATGAACTTACTCATAACTGAAAGTTTGTACCTCTTGACCAACCTCTCCATCTCCCCCACCCCTCAGGCCCTGGCAACCATTCTTGTTTCTGAGTCTGATGTTTTTATGTTCCACAAATAAGTGAGATCATACGGTATTTGTCTTTGATTTATTTCACTTAGCACAAGAGCCTCAAGGTCCATTGTCATTTGCGTTAGTGTAATTTACTTAATCGCTGTTTACATAGATCAACTTTAATAATGGTTTTGTTTAATAACCATCTTATGACATTTCTGAAAATTCAAATGGGTTCTGTGGCCTGTGGCTGATGGCGGAGGGGGGAGCGGGTGTCAGAGCCTGATTTCCTCATTCTGAATAGCTGGGGAATGGAGGCCCAGACAGGAGGCAGGTGCAAGAACTCCAAGTCATGGAGGCATGGCCAGGACTTGTGCCCGGGCTTTCAACACATTATCTCATTAATTCTCCCAGCCACTGTAGAAGGTTGGGGATATTAAGAAATTATTATCATTTTACAGAGGAGAATGCTGAAGCAGGCTAACAGCAAATTTAAGAGAACAGGCCCTAGAACCTGATAGATCCTGCTTTGAGTTCCGGTTCTGTTCTTAGAAGATGTGAGCCTGGGGTGCCTGGGTGGCTCAGTCGTTAAGCGTCTGCCTTCGGCTCGGGTCGTGGTCCCAGGGTCCTGGGATCGAGCCCCGCATCGGGCTCCCTGCTCCGCGGAAAGCCTGCTTCTCCCTCTCCCACTTCCCCTGCTTGTGTTCCTTCTCTCCTTGTGTCTCTGTCAAATAAATAAAATCTTAAAAAAAAAAAGAAGATGTGAGCCCTTGGGCAAATTCCTTACTCCGAGGGACCTCAACTTCCTTATATGCAATATGGGGCTGCTCCATTTACTTTCCAGTTACTGTTTGCCAGGATTGGCTCAAGACCTGGTATAGGGTAGGTGCTTCATGGTCAACTCTATAATTATCATCGGAGAGGCTGAGTCACTTGTCCAAGGTACTGGACTGGTGGGGAATGAGGGGAGGATTGTGATTTGTCCCAAGTGGTTCAGTAAGCAATAGAGGTATGACTCAAACATGGTCTAATTGACAAGTTGGGGGAACAGGGGAAGTAAGAGGCGAATCAGAATGAGGCCTTCATGAAGTTCTCAACATTTCTTCAAGGTGACCAGGTCCAACCCCTTCTCCCCTGGGCTGATCATATCCCCCAGAAGGCTGGAATAGGAAATAGGCAGGTCACTACCCTCCCCCCTGCCCCAACCTGGGTGTTGTTTGCTGCACTCTGTCCACAAAGGCCTCTTCCTTGTAGCGTTCTTGTTAACAATATCAGAGAATACCATTTGGCACCCTCACCAGGGACAGGGATGGAGGCAGCAGGAGGCAGAGGGATGGCCCTTCTTCAGCTCTCCTAGGACAGCCTGGTGAGGAGGCAGGTCCATAAAGCCTCAGCAGCTTGGATCACTGAGGGGAGCCTGGGATAGCCAAAGCTCCCTCTGTCTGTGTCCCAGGACCAGGCAGGAAAGGCCTTTAGGAGCCAGAGCTGGCCTGGCCAGGTGCAGACAGCTGCACAATGGAGAGATGGCAGGGGGTTCAGACTCCAACCTCTCAGAAATCTCATGCCTTTCTGGAGACTAGGGACACTGGACTCAACTGCCCAGGTGTGTTCCCATTAAGTCAATCTCTTTTCCTCAAGTTCAAGTGACAGCCTCTCTGTGACTTGTTTCTGTGACTCTCTGAGGGGTGAGATGGTCACTGGGCTTGGGGCTGTGGGCAGGATCCAGGCATGTATAGGGGCTGGAGATCAGAAGTAGCCCTGAGTCCTCTCTGGACCTCCCCACCAACGTCCCTCTGGCCCTGTTACCTTATTTCCTAGTGTTCTTTCCTCACCACTTCACACCTCAATCCCCTCCCGTTCCTTCTTTCTTCCCAGACCCCCTTCTTTCTTTCACTTATTAATTTAATAAATATTTATTCATAGTTCCCCTGTGTCAAGCCATGTTCTGAGGGCTAGAAACAGAGAAATGAATAACATAATTTCCTGAGCTCAAAGATCTTCAAGTCTAGCTGAGAGATACCCATGAAAGGATAATGATGGTTGTCTTGGGGAGAAGGCTTCAATGATGACAGGGGTCGCCATGATGACTAGGACCCACCTCCATGTTCTCGCGAGGCTGGCTTGGGTATTGTCTATTAAGACAGAAACTGCTGGGCTGACAGAATCTTAGAAGATTTTTTTTTTTTTTGAAACTAAACAACGTCCCCCATCCCATGGAAATCAAGTGTGACTCAGAGAGGCTTTTACTAATATTTACTAAGTTACAGAATGGCAATACTTTCCCACGTCCTCTTCCATGGATTCCCTCTGCTTCTAATGCAATCCCATGGCTCCTCATCCCCATACGATGGGAGCAGATGGAGGGAGATTTATCACGAGAGAGAGCTTGTAGCTGCCACTTCAGCCCTTTGCCTTTGTAGGATTCTGATCCGGTCTTGTCAGGTGGTTGGCTGAAACTTACAGGCTATGATTCCACAGTAGCTCCTGCCAAATCTCAAGATCAAATTTGTGTGTAGATGGGGATGCATTCTTTACCCTTCCCACTTAGAGCCTGTTTGCTGGAAGCAAGTGAAGTTAATAATTCAGGGTTGGCTCTGAAGCCACACTGCCTCCATTCAAACCCCAGGTCCACCACACAAACCAAGCTACGTGGATTGAATCACTTCTCTCTCTGTGCCTTTATTTTTCCCTCTGTAAAATGGAGGTCATTATACTTACCTCAGCGAGCTGTTGTGAAGATGAGGTAGTGTAACAATGCCTGGCACACAGAAATTAGTTAAATATTATCTAATATCTATTATTATTATTATTGAAAGGGAGGTTATAAATTCACCCACATATCCATACTTTATTACAGGTATTCCAACTCAGTTAGTGGGAATTAAGTTAACAGGAGAGGGAGAAAGTTTTCCTGAGATACTAGATCTCAAGCCACATATCAGAACCCTCTAGGATTGCTAGGATTATAACTTGCTGGTAAGCACAGGGGGCCTGGGAGAAATAAAGGCAGCATCTATTCGAGGTTTGGGAGTGGGAGATGGTGGTGTAGGTCAATGGAGGCTTCTTGGTGGGATGACACTAAAGCTGAGACCTAATGTAGGAATGAATAAGAGTTGGATGTGCAACAGAGAGTGTGTGGGTGGCAGGGGTGCAGCAGGTGGGCAGATGGTGCTCCTCCATGCTGAAGACCTCAGCAAAGGTGTGAAGGTGCGACAGAGGTAGACACATACAGGAAATTGGGCATACTTGTATGGAGACTAGGCTTGTATGGAAGGAGATGAGGTGGGGAGACGGTTGGTCCTGAGGCTGAAGAAGTCTGCAGGGGGCAGATCTTTCAGGAAGGGCTCTGTGCATCTGTCTAAAGCGATGGGGCATGGGGAACCCTGAAAGGATTTTCAGGAGGGGAAAAACAGTGCTTCCTATTGTATTTATTTTGAAATTGATTTTTAGCCAATTTCATGGTAATCAGAGAATATACTCTAAATGACTTCCATCCTTTGGATTTTTGGATCTTACATTTCTTTTTTTTTTTAAAGCTTTTATTTATTTATTTGACAGAGAGAGAGAGAGAGCACGCGAGCACGAGCAGGGGGAGCTGCAGGCAGAGGGAGAAACAGGCTCCCTGCTGAGCAGGGAGCCCCATACAGGACTCCATCCTAGGATCCCAGGATCATGACCTGAGCTGAAGGCAGACGCTTAACCTAATGAGCCACCCAGGCACCCCTGGATCTTACATTTCTGATGCAGCATATGGTCAATTTTGATAAATGTTTCATGAAGCTACATGTTTTTTTGGTTAGTATCTGCATGGTATATTTTCTTCCGTTCTTTTTTCCTAGTGGGCCTGTGTCCTTAAGATGTGTTCCTCTCCTCCACCCCAGCTTTACTGAGATATAATTGACATACGTTGTGTAAGTTTAAGGTGTGCATTGATTTAATACATTGAAATACTGGAAAGTGATTAAGGTGCTTTTCTTGTAAGCAATATGTAGGGTTTTTTTAAACTCAATTTGAAAATACGCCTTTTATTAAAATATTTAGGCCTTTTGCATTTAAAGTAATTGCTTAAATACTTAAGTTCACATTTACCATCTTTCTACTTATTTTCTATTTGGCCTACCTGTTTTCTGTTTGATTTTTTCCTCTCTCAAAAGAGCATTATTTTGGATTAGTAAACATTTTTTTGGTCCATTTTCTACTACTTTAGGTTGTTAGTAATGCATTATTTATTCTTTTAATGATTTTAGAGATTACAACATAAATCTTGACTTATCAAAGTCTAATGCAAATAATTAGTTTTACCACTTCTCCAATTACACTAAATATTTAGAAAACTCTGACTTTATTTACCCCCTCCATTTCTTGTGTTATTGTCATGATCTTTGTCTTTCATTTTTTTAATTCCACAAGACTTTGTTATTGTTTTTCATTCATTTTAAATTTATATTTACCCACATATTTATCTTTTTCTTGGAGGGACTTGTCCCTCTTTTTTGCATTTTCATGTTTCTATCACTTTCTTTCTGCCTGAAGAACTCCCTTCACATAATCTTTTTTTTTTTATTATGTATGTTAATCATCATACATTACATCATTAGTTTTTGATGTAGTGTTCCATGATTCATTGTTTGCGTATAACACCCAGTGCTCCATTCAATACGTGCCCTCTTTAATACCCATCACCAGGCTAACTCATCCACCCACCCCTCTCCCCTCTAGAACTCTGTTTGTTTCTCAGAGTCCATAGTCTCTCATGGTTCGTCTGCCCTTCACATAATCTTACTTTTTGTTCGTCTGAAAAAGTTATTTCACATTTAAATTTTTTTTAATTTTTAAAAAACTTTTTTGGAATAATTTCAAATTTATAGGAAGGCTGAAAGAATACTACAAAAAATCCCATATGCCCCATACCCAGATTTATTAATTTTTAATAATTTGTCATGTTAATGTTATGTTTTCCAAAATGCTTTGAGAGTAATTTGCAGACATCACATTCCTTTACCCCTTAATACTTCAGTGAATAGTTCCTGAGAATAGAGGAATATTCTCTTATATAGTAGCTGTTAAATTCAGGAAATTTAACATTGACACATTTATCTAATCTAATTCATATTCCAATTTTATCAGTTGTCACTGATTTTTTGCCATTCCTCCCTTCCAGAATTACATATTGCATTAATTGTTATGCTTTATTTTTCAGTATTCTTCCATCTATTATTGATTCTCAGCTTTTCTTTCTTTCTTTTCTTTTCTTTCTTTCTTTCTCTCTCTCCTTCTTTCTTCCTTTTTTTTTTTTTTTAAAGAGAGAGAGAAAGAGCACTTGCGTGGGTCAGGGGGATGAGTGAGGGGAGAGGCAGAGGGAGAGGGAGAGAGAGAGCTTAAGCAGGCTCCCCGCTCAGCGCCGAGTGGGACTCGGGGCTTGATCCCATGACCCTGCGATCATGACCTGAGCCTAAGAGTTGGGCGCTTAACCACCTGAACCGTCCAGGCAGCCCGATTCTCAGCCTCTCTTTGTCTTTCATGATAAAGATATTTTTGAAGATTAAAAGCTAGGTATTTTTATAGAGTATCCCTCAATTTAGGTTTCTTTGATGTTTCCTCATGATTAGATTCAGGTTTTGCATTTGGAGCTGAAATAATATATAGATGCTATATTGTTAGGATTTCAGATATGGAGACACACTGTGTCTATCTGCTCCTTACTGGTGATGTTAACTGTAATCGCTCATTTAAGATATTGTCCAGTTTTTCCACTGATAGCTAATACTTCTTACTTTTGTAGTTAATAATACTTTATGGATAGATAGCTTGTAACTATGTCACATTCTATTTCTTATCAAAATTACTTGCCATAGAGTTAGCATCCATACCAGTCAGGATGCTGTCAGGAAACAACACACCAGTGATGATGTGAACAGGGAAAATTTAATATAAAGAATCATTGAGGGGCACCTGGGTGGCTCAGTCGTTAAGCGTCTGCCTTCAGCTCAGGTTATGGGATTGAGCCCCACATCGGGCTCCCTGCTCTGCGGGAGGCCTGCTTCTCCCTCTCGCACTCCCCCTGCTTGTGTTCCCTCCCTCGCTGGATCTCTTTCTGTCAAATAAATAAATAAAAATCTTAAAAAAAAATAATTGACTGGTAAAAGGTGGGTAACTACCAAAAAGGTTGAAAGAGATCCAGAAGTAGCAAGGGGAAAAAAAAAAAAAAAGCAGCTACTACCTCATGGCTGAAAGAGAGGACATATTGAAGGGACTGGGGATTTAGAACCTATCTCTCTCCCTCCCCTGCTCCTGGCACTCCCCCACCTCTGCCAAAAAAAAAAAAAAAGAAAGAAAAAAAGACTGAATCCAGACTTTTTCAAAGAGGGTGTGCCTACCACAGGGATACCTGTCAGCTGCTGGTCGGGACAGGCCAGAGTTTGCATAGAAGTGACCACTGGGTGGAGAAAGTGTGGCCTGAGTGTGTGACTATAGTTGGTCCACTGAGGTCAGTTGAGGTGCTTGGGGCCCTTCCAAGCACCAGCCCGCTGGCTCTCAAGCTGAGTGGCTGAGGAAGGACTGCTGCCCCAACCTAAGTGCCTTCCTGGGGTTAGCACATCACAGTGCCCCCTCTAGCGCCCTCTATTGACAAAACCTCGCATTGACAGCCGGCAAAGGAGACAGGTTTGCAGCGTGAGGAGAGGCTTGGAGCAGTGCTTCTAGACAAAGGATCTTTCAGGCAGAGGCAAACTCCACCTCTAAAGGTTTGAGGGCTGGAGCTGATGTGGTGTACATTGATTGTCACTAGACGTGGGCAACCAGTCTGTCCACCGAAGGTGATTGCCTGTGAGCACTTTGCCATTATTTATTCTTTTAAGGCATATGTCAGATGCTTCATATGTATTGCCTCTACTCCTCATAAAAACCCTGAGAGATGAGTATTACTAGCTACATTTTACAGATGAGGAGACTGAGGTTCAGAGATGTTAAGTAACTTGTTCAAGACAGTAAGTAATGGGGGTCAGAATTAAAATCCCTGCCTCCAGGGCCGACATTCTTGCTGGACTACCATACTTCGGATTTAAACGAGTGTGGTTCTCTTA